CCCCAAAACCCCAAAACCCCAAAACCCCAAAACCCCTAAGAATTTTAATTTATTTGAATTTTAACGAATCAATATATTTAAAGAAGCCACTATGAAAGGAAAGAAACTGATTAACTTTAAAAGACCAAAGAGACAATTAGAGTATGTATCAAAATGATAAATATAGACAGAACAAGTTGAGCCTGTCCCACAATAGTGAGTCACTACTCATAAACTGTTGCTTCAGGATTTTTGCTCAGCTCCTTACTCTGAAGTCTACTTTTTGGATAATATCTCTCAGGTTGATTTACAAAATATAGCGAAAAACAGTTCGGTTATTCTCGACCTTAACAAAAGTTTGAATAATCTGATAAATATTGACGAAGATTGTCTCAAAAATGTTTCAAGAATTGATAAATAAGCCTTTGCCAATGATAATTAGCCGAGGTAATATCCAAATTTCACCCATAGGTGAACAAAACAGTGATATCAGAGCTGCTCTAAACCAAGACCAAAAGAGCAGGAGACTCTTCAGCAACAGAGTGAGCCAAAATTTGAAGAGAAAATTTAAAAGCAAATAGAGCTTCTCACCAAAAGATTAATAACTCCCTTGGATCTTTAGTCCAAAAGGAGATTGCTCTCCCTAGAAACAAAGAGGGTCAAGATAAATCTCCTGTGATAAGATATCCCGGTTTAACCAAGAATATACAAGGAATCTCCCAAAATAAGAATGTCTTTACAAGTTCTCAGAACAAGAGAAACCTCCAGGATGAATACTCAGTGACTCAGATAAGTTTGCAAGACCTTGTCGGAGAGCGAAGTAGTAGTGGGGAGGGGGTCAGGAAGCCCATTCATAACTTTATCTCCCATAATAGGAATCCTATGCTCGAAGCTTATTCCAAAATTGATCTTAAAAAATTTTACCTGGGAAAACACAGAGATCCAAAACTGAGAAATAATAGAACGACTAGTTATGAAAGTTTGAATGTGAAGGAGCCCAAGAAACCAAAATTTCAGGGATTCCAGAAGTTTTACCAAAATCTGAAAAAGTATAGCACATTGAGTTCCGAACCTCTTATCTCTGGATGCTGTTCGCCAAAATCTGATAACATCAGTCTTGATCAGGGGAGTAATAACTTTGCTAGATTTATACCGAAAGATAGTCATGAGGACCTTCAGAAATGGAATTTTGAGTTGGCTACAAAAGTCAAGTTGATCTCTCGTAAAGAAATACTGAAAAACTCTGATGAAGTTAGCAAGGTAGATAAGCAAACCCGGAAATATCGGAGATCCCTTGGCAAACTCAAGAGCAGCAAGGAAAGAGAAGTCATTCGATACCATAAGCATAATAAGAAGGATAAAGAATTCTTCGTTGAAACCGAGGATTCTAAGCTTACTAGTCAAGGAATAATTACTCCTGCTCAAAGTACTCCTACCAGCAAATTCGAGGAGATGATGCCTGTGTACCCTCCTCGAGAAATCATCATTAGAACTGAAGGGGAGAATAAGGTTAAGGACGTAAGAAAGAGCTGAGAGCCTGACAAAAATTTTAACCCAAAATTTAGTAGCGATTACGGTCTTGTTTTGAACACTAAGTATGGTATCTCAAATTCTCGCATCGGGAAAATAGATGATCGGGAGCCAGTTCTCAACGAAAGTCCTCTCAAAAGATGGAAGAGGCGCGCCAAGAGAGGTAGTCATGGTAGAATTCAGCTACTGAGTAATGTGTTCTTATCATAAATATGATTCAAATCTTTCTGCTTGTTATGGGGTTTTGGGGTTTTGGGGTTTTGGGGTTGGGGTTTTGGGGTTTTGGGG